TAATTTAAAAACACATTATTTTGATGAGTTTGTGGGGAAAAAACACAGTCTCATACATTGCAGGGAGTGAAATAAATCAGTGAAACTCAGATGGAAGAAACTGGAAATATTAATCAAATTACAAAAGTATTAGTCTCTGAGTCAGCAATTGCACTTAAATCAATACAGTCTATCTCCTGAGGAATGCTGTATAAATAATGTGTTCACTGCAGCACTGTTTGCACGTGCCAAAACTGGGAGCTTCTATATATGCATAGGTCATTATCCAGACTGGGAAACAAAGGGAGAAACTTTTAAGGTACTGAAATGGAATGAGCTCTAACAGATGCTATTGTGAAAAAAGCAATGAGCAAAACGATGTGGAGTTACTCTTATTTTGTTAAAAAAAGAAAAAATACACGTTTGTGTGGTGTATTTCAGAAATTGATCCCTGAAAGGATATTTCAGAAATTGATCCCTGTTAATTGAAATAATTGGAGTCGCAAGGTGGGCGGGATTTCACTGTGTATCCTTTGTAACTTCTGATTTTAGGCCCAAGTTAATGTGTGATAATGATCACTATTAAGAATATCAAAGGAGAAGGGCCAGGTGCTGTGCACGCCTGTAATCCCAGCACTTTGGGAGGCTGAAACAGGAGGATCTCTTGGGCTCAGGAGTTCAAGATCAGCCTGGGCAACATGGCAAAACCCCATCTCTACAAAAATTAGCCAGGTGTAGTGGCACACACCTGAAGTACCCAGCTATTTGGGAGACTGAGGTGGAAGGATCACTTGAGTTCAGGAGGTCGAGGCTGCAGTGAGGCAAGATCACACCACTGCACTCCAGCCTGGGCAACAGGGTGAGACTCTGTCTCAAAAAAAAAAAAAAAAAAGAGTAAAAAAATAAATCACATTAAAAGAGACCTACAGGAAGCAGAGCCTCAAATGCTGGAACCCAGGAAGACAGCACCATAAGGACTCGCTTCATTACTTGAGCGAAGTACATCATTACATCAGCAAATTCATGCAAACTGGCCTCAACTTTTCTCACCATCAATTAACACAGCCCATGCAGCAAAGAAAGATGGTCATTGTCTTCCCCACTTTTGATAATAGAGGCAGAGAACCATAAAGATGTATGAGTGGGGCTGCCGCAGGACACCTTCTGCTAGTTTGAATGATGCATTGAAAACAGCCTTAAAAAATGAGTTCCCCAATTTGGACAAGCAAGTTGGGATTATAGGCAGACAAACGTTGATTTAAAAAAAGACGAACAATCACCATTCATGCATTCAACTAATATTTTTGAGTATTTACTATGTATTAGGAACTATTCTGACTGAGAGCTTGAGATATATCAGTAAACAACATTTGCCTTCTTGGCCGTGACATTCTAATGAAAGAAGACAACACATAAAACTATAACAAATAAAAATCAGTTCATTTGAGTGCTATGAGATACTGGTCTCTATGTTATACATAGATTATACATGAAAAGTACTACCAAAGGAAAACAAAACAGGACTGCATAAAGGTGACTGGAGTGAGGGCAAGTGTGGAAGATTGTCATTTTCATTAGAAAGATCAGTGTGTACCTTATTGAGAAATTAATATTTAAGCAAATACTTGAAATACAAACAAAAGACCCTTAGTGGCGTGCGTGTGCATTTGTATGCATGTGCACATGTGTAGCAGACCTTGCCTGCTACAGGAACAGCAAGGAGGTGCGTGTGGCTGCAGCAGAGCAAGTGACAGGAAGAGCAGTAGGAGATGAGGTCCAAGGTGTGTGTGGATGTGGGGGTCAATGATGCAGGGCCTTGTGGGCTATTGTGAAGGCTTCAATTTACCCAGCAATGCATGGAGAGCCACTTCAGGTTTTTGGACAGGAGAATTACATGATATGATTTATGTTTTAAGGAAGTCCACTCCAACTGCCCTCCTGAAAATAGACAACAGCAGACCAAGAATAGAGCAGAGAGATCAGTTAAAAGCTGACCAGAAAGTCAGCAAGAGATCATGGTGTCTCAGAGCAGGCTGACCACAAAGACAGATGGATTCACTTTGCAGTTAACAGAATTTACTGATATTAACCGAGTGTGAGTTATACAAAACAGAAGCCCAGGAGGACTCAAAAGTCTTGTGCTTGGGCGAATGGAGGAGTAGAGTTAGTATCTTCTGAGCTGAGATGTATAGGAGTAGAGGATGTTTTCAGGAAAATATCAATAGTTCAGTTGTGAGCAAGTTAAATATGAGATGTCTATTAGATATTGTGTAAGAATATTAAATAAGCAGTTGGATGTGAAAGTCTGAAGTTCTGGTGAGATGTCTGAGCTGTTATTAATAGACATCATCATCATTAACATATAGCTGGCCTTCATAGTCAGGAGACTGAACACTCCAATCAAGAAAATAAGTGTAGGTGGAGGAGAAAAAAAACAAGGACTCCACCAAGAAGTAGTCAGGCCGAAGAATAGGAACACAAAGACTTCCAAGTTAATGTACTGGTAAAATTATTCTTCTGTGTATTTATTCACTAAATGAGGATTTAGCACCTAGGATGTTCCATATAGGGCATTGGAGCTAGAAATTAAATGGTGAACAGAAAATATACCTATCCTCACCTCCTAGATAGCCTTCATTAGCTTAATTTTAATAAACCACTATGCATCATGGTTAAAAATTCAAGTAGTTTGTGTGTATGTGATTCTTCTAGGAAAATGTTTATGTATACTGAAATATGCTAATATATACATTTATCTTATTTTGTATATATCTTTATGTATACATTCTTTTTTTGTAAGAAAAGGGATATACTAACACACTGTTTACTGGGTTGCTTCTTTCTTTGACTACATAGGAGACTTTTTCATAGCATCATCTACAAGTGGACTCTATGCTTTTATAGCTATATACCATCCTATTACATGATTGTAAAATGAAATCTCCTTAACAATATGAAAATATCTGTTTCTCAACATATTCATTAACAATGTGACCAAAATTTCATATTTGTTGCCAGGCTGTCATGGAAAAGCCAGTGTCTCATGGATCTTCTGGTTTGCAGTTTTTTATTTATGAATAAGCATTTCTTCATAGGTTTGCTAATCATTTCCACCTCTCTTTCTTTCTCTCCTCTCTCTCCCTCTCTGTACTCTTCCTAGAAATAACTTAATTCTTATAGATTAAGGCTTTGGTCCCAACTAAATGTTAGACACTTTGGGAGATGTGAATGAGATCAGACATTTGACTGAGAATAGATTTTGGAGATAACTATGAGCATGAAGACTGAAGAAGTCAAGTGAAAGAGAAATACTTGAATAAGCTATTATAGAATGAAAAGCACAATTCACATACCTCCCAGGAGTGCTAACCTTTAGCCAAGGTGGTTCTGTCCTGGACTTCACACTCTAAAGAGTTCTTCTTGCCTGTAATCCCAGCACTTTGGGAGGGCATGGCGGGCAGATCATGAGGTCAAGAGATCGAGACCATCCTGGCCAACATCATGAAACCCATCTCTACTAAAAATACAAAAAATATTAGCTGGGTGTGGTGGCGTGCACCTGTAGTCCCAGCTACTCGGGAGGCTGAGGCAGGAGAGTTGCTTGAACCCAGGAGGTGGAGGTTGCAGTGAGCTGAGATCATGCCACTGCACACCAGCCTGGCGACAGAGTGAGATTCTGTCTCAAAAAAAAAAAAAAAAAAAAAAAAGAGTTATCTGGCTCTCCTCCAGCCATGACCCACCCCCATAAGGATAATTTGATAGGTCCAGTGTACAGGCCCAGAGCTGCTGTCTTCCTTACTCCAGCTATCTAGGACCCAAGAAATCTCTGTCCAAATCGCCCTGAGATTACCTCTATGTGTCCATCCTCCTGAAGACTCTAACAGCCAACACTGTGCTCACTTCTAGGTCTCAGTGACCAAGAGAGTGGCAGTTTGAGAGATCCGTGTATGAAAAGAACACATATGGGCTTGGATTTTTACAGTCCAGCACACCCGAGATTCCTCATGGCACACGATGAAGTTGGGGAGTAGGAAGAGAAATAGGGATGAACCACAGGGGTCAGAAGCCTCTGTTTGTGCTCTTGCCTGGTGTCCTACAAATGTTTATGGCGGCCTGCTTTCCAGGAGAAGAGAAGTTCCTAGTCACTGTCCTCAAAGAGGCCATGCGAGAGTAAGAAAGGGAAAGAGCAAACATAATGAAATGCTTCTCTCTTCTATTTTAACCAATTCACTATTGAATTGATTCAGTTTCAGAATCTTTTATGTGCCAAGTGAGCCGCAGGACACTGTGAATGAAATAGGGTCCTTGCCCCTAAGGGGTCCCAGTTTCTCCCCTGTTTAAAACCTTTCAGTGGTTCCCATTGTCCTCAGGATAAAGTCCAAACTCTTTTTCTTAAGGCATAGAGGGTCCTCACCAACACAGCCTTACCTACCTATGTGACTGAATCTCCCCCTTCTCCTTACTCCCCAGTCTGCTCCCTCCACGCTGAGCTTTTCCACCAAATAGTCTATACTTTCATTTTTCTGGAGCTGAAAATGTCCTCCCAGGCACACCCCCATGTCCCACTTCCTATTTCCAATTGCCAAGTCTCAGCTTAAATGTCCCTCCCTCCAAGAAGCATGTCTGACTCCCAAACCTGACCCCTGTGCTTATCCTGTGATCATCATTATCACACGGTGTTGAAGTTGCCTATTGACTTGCCTCCTTAATTGAATTAGATCTTTGAGAATGGAAACTACATCCCATTTAGCTACATTTCGCTTTTTAGGCCAGAGCCTGGTAGAGAGGAGACACTCGATACGGATTTGTGCTTTAGGCTTGTGTTTTAGGTAATTGCGTGCCTATGGGTTAGCTAGGGAGCTTTCTTTGTATCTTTCAGGAAAGAAACCAAGAAGTGTCAGACTTTCCAGCAGGCAGGGGGCGCTGGTGAGTGAGCTAGGCATTGAGTCCTGTGGAGAGGATTATGATGTCATAGAGGCTTAAAATCTTGTCATTAGCAGGAAAGGTAAGCCATTTCCTTCAGAAGACTTTGGTTTCTGATAGTCATGGACTCACTAGGCTGCTGAGGAAGATCAATAATATCTACTGGATCCAGTCATGAAAAGTCAAGGATGGAAATGGTGAATTGAGAAGTTCGTGGCCAGACCAGGTAACACAGAGAAACATTATCTTTTGAGTCCTCTCTCAATGGCTTGTTCATGTGTTCATTCATTCATTACATATTCACTAACTGAGGCCCATGCAATGTCATGCCATGTGTTGGATGAGAGGATTCATCCTATCTTTCAGGAAAAGACTCCTGCTTCCATTTAAGAGGAAGGCACTGGAGCCTCTGGGGGTGGGAATAGTGAGGATGTCTATGCTCATGGAACTAACAGACCACAGAAGTCAGACAATTAAGGAAATAATTACCACTATAAAAACGTAGTGAGAAGCACAGGGGATCCAAGGAAGCCCGTCAGGGAGACGGAGGCTATGGGTTAAGGCAGTTTTCCTCAGGTATTGATGTGTAAGCAGAGACCTCAGGTTTGAACAATATTCAGTGAGCATATGGGAACAGAGACCCAGGAAGGACAGTTTAAGTTGGGAAAGAGCACGTTCAAAGACCTGGAAAGAGGTGGGAGAATTCAGCCAGTGTCTGCTCTGAGCCAGCCTGGTGCTTCAGAAAACAGTGGCTGGACATGAGGCTGGGCCAGTGGGCAGATGTCAGAGAGAGGGCGCCTTGCCAGGGCCCTCCTGGATCTGGGTTGGACTCTGTATTAATCCTCACTGAATAGAGCAATAAGAAGAGCTGGGAAAATGGCCCTGGCCCTGGGCCATGGGCGTTTGGTGTGATCAGGCAGATTTCCAGAGGCAGGCTGTGCAAAGCTGGATTGGGAAAGAAGGGAAACGAACCTTGGAGAGAATATTTACTTATTTATTTATTTATATTTATTTATTTTCTGAGACGGAGTCTTACTCTGTCACCCAGGCTGGAGTGCAGTGGTGCATTCTTGGCTCACTGCAACCTCCGCATCCTGGATTCAAGCAATTCTCCTGCCTCAGCCTCCCAAGTAGCTGATATTACAGATGCTCGCCACCACAACCGGCTAATTTTTGTATTTTTAGTAGAGATGGGGTTTCACCATGTTAGCCAGGCTCGTCTTGAACTCCTGACCTCAAGTGATCCACCTGTCTTGGCTCCCCAAAGTGCTGGGACTACAGGTGTGAGCCACAGTGCCCGGCAAAAGAGAGAATCTTAAGAAGAAACTCTTGCAGGAGGCAGAGTGGTCCAGGAGGCACGTTTATTGGACAGGAGCCGGGGTTCTGAAAGTGGAGGATATAGATGGTGTTCACCAGGCAAAGGAAGACAGTGGAGACAGCACTGGCTCAGAGGAGTGGGACCTGCATCCATGGGGGTGGGGTTGCAGAAGGACTTGCTGTTGTCTTCCCTATGCTACGGTGAACAAGACCGGTTTCTAACCTGCTCTCCTTCTCTGAGATGACACAACCTCCACATTCAGGACCTATTCCCAGGATCTGACTATGAGGCACATGCTTGGAGCGGGGATGTTGGAGTGACTGGTGAGGCAAGACCCTGGACCCAGGTTCCAGATGCCCTCTGATGCCTGTGCACCTCTGGTCACTGGAATGAGAATTGCTTCTGTAGAAAAAGCTTAGCCTGGACTTGTAAGAATGGATCCTAACAAACTGATGATGAGACTCTGCACTTTGGTCAATGCAGGGCACTGACTTTCAGAGTAGAGAAAGGGAAACCAGTGAAAGAAGACAGAAAGATAGAGACAGGATGAAGGACCAGAGAATGACAGAGAGGCAGGGAGAATAAACAGTAAAGAAGGCAAAACCAAACACAGATAGAAACAACAGAAAATAAAAACAGAAGGGGCTCGCTCCTCCTTCATCCCTCTCCAAACCTAGTCTTAGGTCTGACCCCCAGTGGAGAAAATTCAAACAAGAAGACGGGGACAGGTGCTGTGCTTCCTGTGTACGTCAGAACACCCAAACTCACCCCTGTAGTTGCAGGGGCACCCAAGTGTGTGTGCGTGTATGCCTGTGGACACACACACACTTCCTGTCAAACAGCTTTGAACACTGCAAAGGTGGTAGAGAACACGGCCCTGTACTCTCTCACCTCTTTCCTATTTTTATGCTGGTGTGTCTCTGTCCTATTTCCGGTTTTGGTGTGCCTCTCCATTGCTCACCTCTTTCCTTCCTGTTCCCTCCGGGGCAAGTCAAGGCATTGCACAGCCTGTATCTGCCACCTCAGCTTCTTTGCAGCTTTTCTGATCTGGAAGGAGCAATGGGGTGACTTGTCCTCATCCCACTCTTTAGGAGTCTTGCTCCAGTGTTTTCCTCTTAAATGGAAGCAGGAGCCTTTTTTTGAAAGATAGGATGAATCCTGGAACAACTGGCAGGGATAGAGTCATGACTGAACTAAAGCCAACACCCTAACCCAAGTCACTCTCCCTTTTTTAGGTGGGAACCGCCCTTGGCCCAGTTCAGGCTGCAGCCATATAGCCAGGGACTCAGGAGATGAAGGGTTTGGACCAGGTGGCAGGGCCTTAAGAGATAACTCTTCCTTCCTAATCACCCTAATGCTCTAGTTCAGGAGATTCAAACATAGGGGTCATTATAGGAGGTGCCACTGTGCTTCCCTCCTTCTCAAAGAAACTCTCGGGGTTTCTCTGTGGGAAGGAGGTCCTTGGCATGTGCCTGACTCAATGGTTCAGAAAGTGGAAGTGAAGAGAGGCCGGGCTGGGGCTGAGTCCAACGTGTGAGTCCGAAAGTTACTGTTTCTAGTGGGTGGAGGTGTTGGCCACACCTGTATCAATGGGACCCAGTTTGTGCACTATGAACTGGATTTGGGGGAATCCCCAAATAAAAAAGGGTTGAGCCTAAGAGCATGTCACCCATCATTCAGGACAGCCACAGCCCTGGATCTTCTATAAAGTCACTGGGGTGATTCAGATGGCAAAGTAGGTCATCTGACAGGCACCCTTTTGCAACCACCTTTCTGGCAACTTCTGCACACCTTCAGGAGAGGATCATACAGATGTTTGTCCTACTGGGGTGGATTAGTCCATTTCAGTAATGCTATAAGTATACTACCCAAGACTGGATAATTTATAAAGGAAAGAAGTTTAATCAACTCACAGTTCCACACATCTGAGGAGGCCTCAGGAAACTTACAATTATGGTAGAAGGCAAAAAGGAAGGACCTTCTTCACATGGTAGGCGAGAGAAGTGAGAGCAGAGAAATGTCAGACACTTAAAAAAGCATCAGAACTTGTGAGAACTCACTATCATGGGGAAACTGCCCCAATGATCCAATCACCTCCTTCCCTCAACATGTGGGGATTACAGGTCCCTCCCTCCACACATGAGGATTAGAATCCAAGATGAGATTTGAGTAGTCACACAGAGCCAAAGCATATCATGAGGTGACCCCTGAAACACTGTCTTATTTTATTTTATTATTTTTTGAGTCAGAGTTTCTCTCTTGTTGCCCAGGCTGGAGTGCAATGGCACGATCTCAGCTCACTGCAACCTCCACCTCCAGGGTTCTAGTGATTCTCCTGCCTCAGCCTTCTGAGTAGCTGGGATTACAGGTGCCTGCCACCATGCCCAGCTAATTTTTGTATTTTTAACAGAGACAGGGTTTCACCATGTTGGCCAAGCTGATCTTGAACTCCTGACCTCAGGTAATCTGCCCACCTCAGCCTCCCAAAGTGCTGGGATTACAGGCGTGGGCCGCCACGCCTGGCCCTCCCTCAGAAAGACTTTAGTGGGAGGAGAGATTTGTGGCTACTGTCCCCAGGAGTCCCTCTATCTACAGGACACAAAAAAGAGGATGAGACAAGAGATGTGGCTTTCTAAACACCAGGGAGAGTGTTTGGAGCAGGGCTGGAGGGAAGCAACCCGACAGCAGGTCAGGATCTGATGGAGGGCAAGTAGGGAGCCTCCAGCAGAATAGAGAGGGCCGGGACAGAGGCTGGCCCCGGCTAGGAACTATTCATACTGGCGCTAATGTGAAGACTCATGAGAAAGACCAAATAATCTCAATTTGATTCAGCTAAACAACCATCATCACAAACCTCAAGTTCTCTTCTCTGTGTACCTATGATTATGCATGGACACATGCCTGCATGCACTCAACATGCATGCACACATACACACATTCACAGGAATATGGGCATGTGTGTGCTTAGTGGAAAGCCCACAGCAGTAACTGGTTCAGTTTAAAAACTAGTTTGGGGCTCAGTACAGTGGCTCACACCTGTAATCCCAGCACCTTGGGAGGCCGAGATGGGTGGATGATCTGAGGTCACGAGTTTGAGACCAGCCGGGCTAACGTGGAGAAACCCCTCTCTACTAAAAATACAAAAATTAGCTGGGTGTGGTGGAGGGAATCTGTAATCCTAGCTACTCAGAAGGCTGAGGCAGGAGAATTGCTTGAACCCAGGAGGCAGAGGTTGCAGTGAGCCGAGATTATGTCATTGGACTCCAGCCAGGGCAACAAGAGAAAAAAATAAAAAACTAGTTTGGGCAGGAGGCTTTTCTCACAATCCCAAGGATGCCAGATGCCGGAAGATGGTTGCAATTTCACCTCAGCAGTTGTCACTCCAAATCTCACACCCATCTTCCCCCACCAGTGACGGGGCTCTGACAGGCCTGTCACCTCCCCCACTTGGGTTTGTGGCTTTGCGAGCTGAGTCCCCAGAAGGGGTACAGGCTCATTTCCCTCCTTCCACATCTCCCTGAGGAGGCTAGATAACAATGCTGCTCACTTGTCTGCTGTTTCCTGGCCACTTCTAGACCCTCTATTCTGCTCTGGGGCCACAACAGTGGCGTTCATCCTCTCATCATGTGCCATAGGAGGGACAGGGCAGAAACCATATAAGGGTTTCCCTAGGGACTGCATACTGGGGCTGAGGCCTAGGGACCTTCCTGGGAGAACTTGGATTCCTGGGTGGAGGAAGGTAGATAGAAGTAAAACAAGAGTTTTGTTTGGATTTTCCCTATACCCAGAAGAATCTGGAAATTATAAAACTGCTGAACGGTTGAGTTTGAGGATGCATACGAGGTCCAGTTCCCCCTCTCTCCTCCCCACTACTGCCTCTTTATAGAGTTACAAAGAGAAGTGAAGACAGCTGCCCAAGCCCTGAGGCTTGGGAGTTGCAGAACCAGGCCTGGAACTCAAGGCCTGCCATGCCAAGAGCACTGTCCTTCCCGTTTCATCTCGCTGTAACCACCACAGCAGCAGCTGACCTCTCATGTGCTCCTGCATTGGACAAGATGATGCACTCAGGAAGGGTGTGGCAGTAGGTCACTCTAAGGGCAAGAGTTCCATTGCACCCTGGTCCCTGGGTGCCACATTAGAGACCAGAACAAGCACATGCTCTGGAGTGGGATGGAGCTTGGCTTGAATCCACTGTAAAGCAACTGAGGTGATCTCTGAACTTCAGTGGTCTTCACATGTAAAGTGGACTAAAAATGTCGACCTCAGGCTGGTAGCAGTCATAACACGAGTTGATGTTTGTGAAGTGCCTGACGCTTGACTCAGGATCTGGAGACTGAGGGTCACACTGTTTTCTCATTAGCTAAGCGACCTTAGGCACATTTCTTACATATTCTGGTCTTTTGATTATTTATCTGGCAAATGACAACCTAGCAAGGAACAAACAGACTGGCACATGCAAAGGTAGAAGTATGGGTTTGGCTGGCTCCTCTCGGGGTCCAGCTCGCTTTCCCAACCCTGGTCTGAGTCATTCTCCTGAAGACGGATGTGTTTGGGTATCAAGAGAGGGGGGGAAAAAAGCAGGCACCCAGATTTCCTTCTGATGAGACTATTCTTTTCTTTTTCTAGTACCTCCAAGTCTCCAGAAGATGTGTGACCAACCAAAACCCAGTCAATGCTGCCCCCCAAAAGGCAATCAGTGCTGCCCGCCAACAACCAATCAGTGCTGCCCCCCAAAAGGCAATCAGTGCTGCCCACCAACAACCAACCAGTGCTGCCAGCCAAAAGGCAATCAAAGCTGCCCGCCAAAACACACTCACTGCTGCCAGCCAAAACCCCCATGCTGCATCCGGGCCAAGTGCTGTGATTTGGAGACCACGCCTGAATGCTCACCTGTTAATAAGGAGGCTGAGCCCAACTCACCCCAAACTCAGGACAAGGGCTTCCAAACCCAGCAGCAACCCCATAGTCCACAATACGAGTCCAGACGAAGGAAATGAGAGCAGAAGTCACACAAATAGATTGTTCCTGAGGTCATGCCTATCACTCTGTAGGTGGGGGATTACTGAGAGTCAGGCTAGACCTATGTTAAGAGAAGCAGTTTTCACAGTAACTACCATTTCCACACAATGAGAGACTCCTATTTCCCTTCATAGCTCCCTCCCTAGGGAGGCCTCCATCTGGAAATGGGAGGTTGAAGAGGCTGGAATCATTTTTCCTAGTGATCCTGACATTTAGACAGCACAGAAATAAAAGAGCAATAAAAAGAACATTGTCTCGCTTTGTTCCTTTACTTACCTATGAAGTCATCTCAACAGCCTGGCCTAGAGCCCAAGAGAATATTCTGGGCATGTCCTGAAGGTCCAAGGAGCAAGAGCTAGCATCCTGCAGAACAAAGCCTTTGCTGAGCCACAGCTTAGTTGACTGACTCATCCTGGTTTTAAAATGAAAGTCCTGCATTCCAGGAACCCCTTCAGTCCTAATTTTAAAAAAGAAAAAAAATGATGACTGGTCAACCAAAGTGCAAGAATTGTAATTTCCCTGGGTCCCTGGGTACCGCATTGCACTCCAGACCAAGCAAAAACATGTAACTCCCTTGGAGTGATTCCACCCCTAATCCAGAGATTGTAGATGGAGGTAGAGTTCCCAGGACTCAGCAAAGCACAGTGGCTGGTGGTAAAGAGCGAAAGCTTCCAGCATCAGCTCTGGCTCCTCGGTCAGAGAGTAGCAATCCTAAAGCAAGTGGTTCAGTGTCTCTGAGGCTCTATTTCCTCATGTGTAGTGGTACTTACTGCAAAGATTTTTAAAAAATGAGAATTAAAAGGGATAATTCATTCAGAGTGCCTAATATAGGGTCTGACACCGAGTGGCTATTCAGTGTGCATAGTTCTCAAACTCATCTTTGCCACAAAGCTATATTTCCCTCTAAAGAAGCCATCATCCTCCAATCATCTGTCTCCAAACACACCCCCACTAGTCCAGGTAGACAGGTAGAAATACAGAAATCAGCCTCATTCAGCGTACTTGTAAACTTCCATTTTTACTGCTATGCTTAATTAACATATCAGTTTTAAAATCACTTTTAAATTTTTTCAAGTACACTTCTGTACTCTCTCTCTCTCATGCTTCTCCCTGACCACCAATCCCCAGAAAACTACTGGTCTACTTTTGTCCCTACAAATTAGTATTTTTGATAATTTTATGTAAGTAGAATCATACAATAGGTATGCTTTTTTATGCTGAGAATTTATTGTTTCAAAGCAGGCTCCCCCCACCCCGCCACCTCCGCAAACACCACATATATAAAGTAGCTCAAAACTGCAGTTTCTATTTTGGTACCATCTAGGATCTATAAATGTCATTTTCAATTGCTTGGGATTTCAAAATAGAGATTCCCTAGCAACAATGCACCGGTGGCCCACAAAATATTCCCACACTTTGTTTAGTTTATGGGAGAAAATTTTTTAAACTGGAACAATTTCATAGTGCTACAAAGATTATGTTGTAGGCTGGGCGTGTTGGCTCACACCTGCAATCCCAGCACTTTGAGAGGCGGAGGCGAGAGGATCACCTGAGGTCGGGAGTTCGAGAACAGCCTGACCAACATGGAGAAACCACTTCTCTACTAAAAATACAAAATTAGCTGGGTGTGGTGGCACATGCCTGTAGTCCCAGCTACTTGGGAGGCTGAGGCAGGAGAATCGCTTGAACCCAGGAGGCAGAGGTTGCAGTGAGCCGAGATCGCATCATTGCACTCCAGCCTGGGCAACAAAAGGGAAACTTCGTCTCCAAAAAAAAAAAAAAAAAAAAAAACGAAATAAAAGATTATGCTGGAAGTAGTTTGTTTTTCCCTCTAGGAGGGTGGGCAACCATTTCTCCAAAGTTTTTATAAATGCTAAGTTTCAGATTTCAAAATGTCAACAGATTTTCATGAAGCATGTAAAGTGGGCCACTCTGTTTCTGTTCTGGGTCATGGCGACTCTGAATTATTTTGTATTCCCACACTGCAAAGGACAAAACCCCATTCCTTGCATGTAAACCTTCAGGAGAGGTGGGACAGCACAGTTGAGGAGTTTCTCAAAGTGGCTAGTGACCTGCAAGGTCAGGTCATTCCAAGAATCTGACCTGCTGGGAGAAACCTTGAGATCCCTCAGCACGGGGCTCCTGAAGGCTTCCACGTGCTCTGTCTACCCAGTCCTGGGGCATTTGTGGTTGCTGCAGTAGTTGGAGGGTTGCTGCTCTTTGCAGCCCAGGCGGCGGGTGCCCCACTCTCCACCCTGGGAGCCTCCTCTGGCTGTCGTGCTCAAGGTGTAACCAGGTTTTTTCTTGGGTGCTGGTGAGGCACAGCTCTCCCGAGAGAATGCTGTGAGTTCTTGGCCTCCAGTCTCTTAAAGAGTAAGCCATGGGACCGCTGCAGGTGCCACGTATGCTCGTAAAAGTAAACATCGGACCCAAGAAGTGTTGCAGAAAGGTGATTTCATTCAGGTAGAGAAAAGAGGAGAAAAGGAGAAGAAGAGAAAGACTCCCACGAAGAGTGTGGAAGGGGATTCCAGAGGGGAAATCCCAGAGGGGAAAGGGAGCTCTTACCACGTGGGAGGAGATTCCAGAGAGCTGGAAATCCGGCGTGGGTGAAGGAGCAGCAGAATTTACCCTGGGAGACATTCCCACCTTTCCAAGTTCCTCTGGCCAATGAAAGGCCTCCCTTTAAACTTCCGCTGGGGTGACTGACTCAGCTTTTTCCCGCGCCCGAGAAATTTAAACGTAAACCGTTAAATCTCCCGGATGGAGAGATGGGAGGGGGGCATGGTGCTGGGAAAGTCTTGCCCTTAAAACTACTCCCCCTCGTGGACCCGGAAAGAGAACACAGTCCCTCAAAGGGACTACTGGGGCTCCAAGCAAGACCTCCACCCTCCCGGTGGTGCCAGCCTCCAATTTGGCCTCACCCCCAACCTCATCAGTGGAAGTCAGTGAGAGTCCGGCTACAGTGGGCCGCACCGCCGTACTCAGGCCCAATGCAGCTGGACAAGATCTTGGCAGAGCTGGCTCACCTGCCTCTCCCTTGCTGGGGCCTGGGGAAGACAGTGGTAATTATCCCACCCTCAGTGAAAGGTGAGGCTGTGGGGCTGCGGGAATGGTGGGAAGATCCTTCCCCCCACCCCTTACCCCTTGCCCCATCCCAGCCCTGCTCCCTGTCCTCTTCCTGAGTCTCCAGGCAGCTCTCTGGGTTGGCCACCCCCCTCGGGTGCTCTGGCTGCAAGACAGTCCCTCCTCTGCCTCTTCCCAGCCCAAACCACTGTGCATTCTTTTATGCCTGGCCCCTTTCACTCAGCTAAATTATTTTGAGATTCAAACGTGTTTTTGCATGTATCCACTGTTCATTCTTTTTCATTGCTGAATAGCAAATACCCTCACTATTGTGAATGTATCACTTTTGTTCGTCAATTAATCCTTTGATGGGCATTTGTGTTGTTTCCAATTTGGTGCTATTACAAATAAAATTGCTATGAACATTCATGCACAAATCTTTGTATGAACATATGCTTTCATTTATGTTAAGTAAAGACCTAAGAGGAAAATGACTGTGCTGCATAATAGGTGTATGTCTTACTTCTTAAGAACCTGACCAACTGTCTCCCAAAATGGTTCTGCATTTTACATCCCCACGGGAAGTGTATGGCAGTTCCAGTCGTTGCATGGTCTTGCGGATTTAATTGTATGCCCACTTTTTCTAGTTCTAGACGTTTCAATAAATAGACATAGTTCCAGACATTTTAATAAACATGCAGTGTTGCTTCACTGTGGCTTTAACTTGCATTTTCTTAATGGCTAGTGATACGGAACATCTCTCCTTGAGCTCTTTTGCCTTCATGTATCTTCTTTGGTGAATAATCTGTCCAAATATTCCTCCATTTTTTTACTATTTAGAACTATTTACTGGACTTTAAGGGGATGTGTGTGTATACACATATATGTGTGTGTGTATATACATATGAGTGTGTATATATATATCTGTGTGTATGTATGTGTATACATATACAGTATATTTATATTCTTGATACAAATGTCTTATCAGATAAATTATTTAACATATTTTCTCCAGACGGTGGCTTATAATTTTATCCTCTTAAAAATTATTTTTTCAAATAGCAGGAGTTCTTAATTTTGATAAAGTCCAGTTCATTGTTTTTTATGGATCTTGCCTATTGTATCATACCTAAGACATCTTTGCCTGATTCTAGGACACAAGGGTTTTCTCCTATATTTTCTTCTAGAAGTTAATTTTTGTTCAGGCATACCTTGGAAACATTGCTGGTTCAGTTCCAGACTGCCACAATAAAGCGAGTCACACACTTTTTTTTGTTTCCCAGTGCATATAAAAGTTAGGTTTACACTATACTATAGCTTATTAAATGTGCCATAGCATTATGTCTAAAAAACAATGTACATACCTGATTTAAAAATACTTTATTGCTAGAAAATCTTAATCATCTGAGCTTTCAGCAAGTGGTAATCTTGATGGGAGAGGATCTTGCCTTGATGTTGATATGTTGATGGCTGCTGACTGGAGTGGCCAGTACACTTCTTTTTTTTTTTTTTTTTTTTTTTTTTTTTT